GTCAAAATATATTTATAAAATCGAACACTGACTGAGGGTATATATCTTTTGGCAAAACCTACTGATACTTTTTAACTTGTTAAGCATACAATTGTAGAAGGTATAATGGATATAGTTTCCAAAATTTATATTTGAACTCAATAATTTTAATAATTTTCTTTTATTAAATTTTTTATTTCTTTTTTCAATAACTTTAAAGTCGAGCTTCAAATTAATTAACTAAATTGATAATTTTCTCCTAAAAATCTGAATTATAAACTTCAACCTGAACCACGAAATACTTGAATTTGAAAATGCTCGTAAAATCTGACACCTTAAATTAACTTATTTGGATCGGGTAAACATAGGTGTCCACTGTTCAAAAATCAATCCACTCCACCCGTTCCCCCAGAAGTTATGGTATCTGAAGAATAAAATATTGTAAAATAGTCCTTTCTCCTAGAATATTGTTAATTATGTTCTTTGTACCGATACATGCTAATATATATATTTATTGGCAGTGGCAAATTTTTGCCATTAAAAATGAAATCTCCTTTTAAGTCATTCATTGATATTTACACACACATACACATGCGTACAAATTACTAACACTCTCATAATATGGTCTGTTTGCCGATAATATAAAACATTAAAATAGTCATATGCATGACAGGAAATTCCACACTTATACATACATAAACATGCATCTCATAGTCAGACGTTCGTATTATCATACATACATGACACACACACTCACACACATGCATTAAAATATTCATGTTAACATAATCTGCTACATTATAGTTTATGTAGATTTTGCATTGTTATGTGTGTGACATTCTCATTTATATGTCATTATCTTTAACATCTTCATCATCGTCATCATCACCGGTGTCTGGGTCGCATTTGGTTGGTGGTAGTCACACTTACACATCCGCATCAATATCATGATTATTATCTTTATTCCAGAGACATGCATGCCCCTCATGTGCATGAATTCCCCAAATGACTTGTACTTATAAATACATATACACATGTAAATATATGCATATATGTATGTATTGGTGTATAAATGTCTATGTGATTATACATTCATTATTTGTTTGCTGCATTGCTCCCTTAAAATGCCAGCAAGTAAAGCCTCTTATTTATCAAAAACTAACAAATGCTAATGTTAATCCTATAATGACTCGAAAGTAAGAAAAAAAAACACAAAAACAAGAAAAACAAAATGAACACACATACAGACACGAAGAAGCTAATGAAGCAATTAACAATTTTGTTGCAAAAACATAAAATGAACTTTAAAGACCTTTTCCCTCTTTTTCCTTATCCTACATTGAGACATGTATTATGATGCAGTAAATTTCGTTTATAACGAATATAACAAAAACATTTTCAAACATTTATGATTATATTTAAAGAGGCCATTTCTGTATTTAATCCTAAACATAGTAGTACTTATCTTCGGTTTTTTTAAAGGAAATGTATAACAGTCGAAAAAAAATTAAAAAACTCAAATTTCTCACCAAAAAATATTTGTTTTTAGGTTAACTACAGTTAGGTTGGTTGAATGGTTTTCTCTTTTAATTATGACAGTTATCTCTTATATTATAGTTTTATAAAGATCATAATTATTGGTCTCTTAGCTATTGTTATAAACGAAATTTACAGTAATTTCTTAATGTAATCGACGATTGGAAACATTTGACCAATGCAATGAAAGCTGTTCTATTCCGACTTAACGCTTGAAAGTCTATACTTTATATACCGCCAGCCATATGGCTACAGAGGGTATATATCACTTGATACGGCCAAAACGAAGATGGACAATATCGGTCTACTTCTTCTGGTACCTCCTTTACAAAGGGTCAAACTTTCAAAAAATATTTCACTGCATAAAAACAGAAAGAATTATTCGATTTTATCCCAACTTTGCAAATCCTAATATTTGCATAAGTGCTAGGTCAGACGAGAAAATTGACAATATCCGTGCACTCCATCAAGTACCTACCCCACAAAGGGTCAACATTTTGAATAATTATAACTCTTATAAAATTACACACATCACAATATTTTTATTAACCCATGTTCTGGTGTGAAGATGGAATACATCGGTCCTCTCCTTCTGCTACCTCTCCAACAAAGGGTCAAAATTTTGAATATTCATGAAGCTCGTGAAACGCGAAATTATCATCAGATTCCATTCAGACTTGGCACATCTCAATACTTTTATCAATACAAGATATGTTATAAAGATGGTAGAGATCGGACTATTTCTTCTGGTACCTTCCCCACAAGAAAAACCAAAACGATCATAAATTCCGAAATTAGTATCAGGTTTACTTCCTATTTCACACATCCCATTATTTCTGCTAACGCAAGATCTGTTGCGAAGATGGGACATATTGGTCCACTCCTTCTGGTACCTCCCCCACAAAGAGTCAACATTTTTAATACCCATGAAGCTCATATAAAGCTAAATTAACATCCGATTTAATTCAGACTTAACACATCTCAATATTTCCACGAACGCAAGATCTGTTATAAAGATGGTAGAGAATGAACCATTTTTTCTGGTACCTCCCCCACAAAGGGTGATAATTTTGAATACTTGAAGCTCATAAAATCCGAAATTAACATATGATTCCTTTTAGGCTTGGTAAATTTTAATATTTCCATCAACACAAGATCTTTTATAAAGATGGTAGAGTTCGGACCATTTCTTCTGGTACATCCCCCCACATAGGGTTTAGGATTTTGAAAAACAAAACGCTCAAAAAAAAGAAATAAACATCCAACTCTCTTAAAATTTCGCGCACACAAACGTTTTTGCTAACACAAGATCTGTTGTGAAGAAGATGTATATATCTGCGAACCCCATCTGGGTCACAATTTTCCATACTTTTATCTGTCAAAACTTGCAAACCAGTTAGAGATTTCTCTCAAAATGATCACATATCTCATAGAAATTAAAGAAAGTAACCAATATAGTCGACACCTGGCACGTCCCAATATTTATATCATATTTATTTAGGTCCGATACGAAATGGACAATATATTGGTCCATTCTTTCGAAACCCACTTCCATAGAGGATCAGCAATTTGAATAATCATAACAAAAGTCAAAATGTATTTAAATAATCGAACATTGGCTGAGGGTATACATCTGTCGGCAAAACCGACTGATACTTTTTAACTTGTTTTCTGTAAATTTGAAAATCTGTGTGCCAGAAGAAGTGGACCGATGTCCACAGACACTTATATCACACTTTTTGTAAGAGGTATTCTTCTTCTTCCGAATATTGACCTTTTAAAGGTAATGTCAAGCAAGAGTGGGTTAATATTTTCCAAGTTTGTACCTGACCTAGCAATATATTAAGGTGTACCAAATTTAAAATATATCGCGTGCTCCAATCGCTTAATATGTGAATTTTACTTACTTTTAAAATGATAATGTTTTGTGGTGGAAAACCCCCGAAGGAGTGCCATTGATCAATTGCTCCCCCGGCGTACGACATGGTTGTATGTCATTAAGGATGTCCTCATGAGTCTATCGGGTAAATCGTGTCAGTTATATCGTCACGATTTGATAGCCCTGCAAACCCATCGTTTTTCGATGCACACGCAAATTCACCCTGCCTCGGTAAAAATATTACGATGTTTTTAGTTTTAGTTTTTTAGAAAAAATCGGGCCTCAATCGAGCCTTAAGCGATGAGTCATTTTTATTTTTTACCATATAAAAATATATACCATCTGTAGCTATGTGGAGGGAATTTTTTCTGACAAACTCAATATATAGCCAAATTGGTTTAAAATTGAGACCAGGATCTTTATGAGAAATATCAATATAATATATATTGAGATTTGATTATATGGGAGCTTTACTAACCCAGACAGTTGTAGTCGTTTTCAATTCCAAATCAAAGTCCTAATCAATCTTTAAAATGTGCTACGGCACTGAATCTCTGAGCTGCTAAACTATCAGTGTCTGGTAATTTTGCTTATCTCGGAGTTTGAGTCGAGTCATTTAACCTTTTATTACCCTTAAACTGAAGATCAACTTAAAACGCTCAAAATTTATTAAATCGATAGGTGCTACCATTTAATGTCTTGTCAAAACCTGAACCACCGAATACTAAAATTTAAAAAAATCTAGCATTTTTCAAAAAATTTTAACCTATATTATTTGGATCGGGTAAAAGTATGAAGGAAGGCGTCCACTCTTTTGAAAATCAATCCACTTTTCCCGTTCCCTCAATAGTTATGATATCCGAAAAATAGTTTTCCAGAAGTTATTTTTTGAAATTTATGGAACTGCTAAACTCTTCTTTTTTAAAAACGCCTTGCAGCAGCAGAGATATTCACAAAAGTCTCTTTAATATAGGCCCTTCAAAGTTATCCGATAAAACTAGACTTCTTCCGTAGTGAGATGATTTTTCCCATAGAAAAAAAAAAATAGAAAATAATCAGAATTTCGGTTTCAAACATTAGAGCGTAAAATTGTTTGATAATTATAGTAATATACCAATAGGGAAATATTCCTAAAAATTTCCTCCAAGACGTCCATTTTACAAAGATTCGAACATTTTCAAACATAACCTATTCTGATTATTAAATCCAGAACCTATAGAGAGAGACCTCAGACCTTTATTCTGCTATATTTATTATCAAAATGTAATATCTATATTCTACTTATAGATATGATTTGTGGTTGGGATCTTAGAACTTTGAATGATTAAATTTAAGATCTTTTGAAGCCTGCATACACTTATCTGAATATGTTGGTTTTAATGCAAGCGGTTATATGTTTCCAATCTCAAAGATTTCCCACTCATTTCTACCCTTTGTTTCCTATCTATGTATGTGTGAATGTATTTTATGCTAAGAACTTCTTCATAAACATACTTAGATTATTGAAAGAATACCACTCTCATACATTTTGTTGCATTTTCGTTTTTTTTTTTCTCTTTCTCTTTTTTCTTCCATATGTTGTTCTTCTTTTTTTGTGCTTTTGCAGAGCCACATTGCCATTAACCGATACCAAAGATTTACTAAGCACTGAATGCAATTGTAGCCATAACGGCGGTAGTAGTGGTGGCGGTGGTGGTGGAGGAGGTGGCAGTAGCAGTGGTAGTGGTGGTGTTAACAACAGTAACAACCATAATAACATTGCATCATCCAACAACTCATCAACGACAACAAATGGCACCTCATCGGCAACAACGGCATCGTCCAACTCCTCCTCCACACCGGCCGCAGCTTTAATAAACTCCTACTCCTCATCCTCCTCGTCAACGACAACGACCACAAATGGCGGCAGTGGTAATGGTCCTTCGTCATTATCCTATGGCAGCGGTTATTCGAATTTGCGCACCACAGCTCTGGATGCCATCGATCTCACCGATAATCATTCATCACTGTTTGCCCATTTCGATATGCTGCGACATGGATACATCAACTACAACAATCACAGCCGGCCCATTTCCATTCCAAATGCAGCAAATGCAAATGCAGCGGCAGCGGCAGCAGCAGCAGCAGCCGCAACTGCATCCTCCAACGGCCAATTGTCCACATCGACTTCAATGTACAGTCATCATCCTATGGATAATTCATGTTCTGATCAAAAGGGTGGTAGTGGCGGTGGTGGTGGTAGTGGTAGCGGTATTATTGACCCATACCACGATGGTGTTGGTGGTGGCAGTAGAATTGGTAGTAGTAGTGGTAGTAACTTTGCCAACAGCGGCAGCAGCAGCAGCGGCGGCGGCGACGGCAACAGTAGTAGTGGTGGCATTGGTGGCGGCCACTACCATCAACATCAGCATCACCATCATCATCACCATCGTCATCATAGCCAAGATATTTACTCACCTTCTTCATCATCATTTCTGCACTCTAACAATTCTAGTTCGGGTAGTAGTGTTAGTCACTTGGGTGGTGGTATTAGTGGTGGTGGTCACATACATTCCTCCTCATCTGCTAACGCTTCCTCCTCCTCATCATCTTGTACTACTACTAACAATCATAACAATTGTGCCATGTCCAGTTGTGCGTCCATTTGTCCGAATATAGCATCTGTGTCCTCCTCCTCCTACTCCTCAACGTATATATACAATAATTACCTTCGCAATAATGGTTCCAATTATTTAAACAGCAATACGACCAGTGATGTTGTCGCCTCAACATCCTCAGCATTATCCACATCCGCCTCTGCCAATAATGCACCATCGGCGGCAAAAGCAGCGGCAGCCGGAACGGCCACAACGAATGATCCGCAAACAAGTAGCAATAATTTGATGAACTATAACAGCCATCATAACTGTGATTATCATCAGCATCATCATCATCATCACCACAATCAGGAAAACAATCAGGTTAGTAGAGATGATGACACTCTAGAAGCCTAGAAAGTGATTTTAATTTAAATATCTTTTTTTTTCAGAACGGTTTGGAAGATTCTCCCAGACGACATAGTTCCATGGATCAACTGCTGGGTCTGATTAATGATATGGGCAAATCATCGCGTACCCGTAGCCTCAGTGACGGTGGTACTCAGGAAGATGATGATGAACGTAAGTGCCCATGGTGGCCTACATAAATTGGAATCCATTTAATTTTATAACCTTTCTTGCAGTGGAAAAAGAAGCCCAGCCCGATTTGTTAAACAATACACCTCCTGTGCCTCCCAAACGCTCCCACAGACGACGACACACTCCCCCACGCCCCATATCGAATGGCCTGCCACCAACACCCAAAGTTCACATGGGTGCCTGTTTCTCCAAAATATTCAATGGTTGTCCTCTACGTGTTCACTGCACTGCCTCGTGGATCCATCCGGAGACACGAGACCAACATCTGCTCATCGGAGCCGAAGAAGGTATATTCAATTTGAATATGAACGAACTTCACGACGCTGCCATAGATCAATTGTTCCCCCGGCGTACGACATGGTTGTATGTCATCAAGGATGTCCTCATGAGTCTATCGGGTAAATCGTGTCAGCTATATCGTCACGATTTGATTGCGCTGCACTCGAAGCAAACCCATCGATTTTCGATGCACATGAACAAAATTCCCGAACGGCTGGTGCCACGCAAATTCGCCCTGACCACAAAGGTACCCGACACCAAAGGCTGTACACAGTGTTGTGTCACACGCAATCCCTACAATGGCTATAAATACTTGTGTGGTGCAACACCCAATGGTATATTCCTGATGCAGTGGTATGATCCGTTGAACAAATTCATGCTGTTGAAACAATGCGAGTGGCCGGCCACAAGCATACTCGGCGGTGGTCATGGTTGTGTGCAGAACGGCCGCACTCCGGTCTTTGAGATGATTATAACACCCGAACTGGAATATCCCATTGTGTGTACGGGAGTACGGAAGGCCGTCAATGGATGCCTGAAGCTGGAACTCATCAACATGAACAGTGGTATAGATTTCAATTTATGCTTTGGAATTGTTACTTATTGTGTGCTTTCTGTTTGTTTGTTCTTCCTCTCTTTCTTGCCTTTTCTGCTGCAACTGTTTCCTTTGCTGTGTGTGTTGCGTCTTTTGTTTTTGTTACTGATCTTTCCCAAAAACCTTGATCCCCCCTTTATGTTTTCTTTTCTGATTATCTTTTGCTCTCCCCCTATTTTTTTGTGTGTTCCCACCGCCCCCCAAATGTGTGTTTTTGGTTTTTCATATTCCTTCTTCCGACCTTTTTTACGGGGGAAAATGTTGTACAAACACGCAAATACAAAACACTACCCGTACACGAATGAATATAGGTGCAAGTTGGTTCCATGCGGATGATTTGGAATATGATGCTATGGCCACAATGGTACCCCGACGAGATCTACTCAAAGTGGTAAAGGTCCATCAGGTGGAGAAGGATGCAATAATTGTGTGTTATGGAAATGTGATACAGGTGGTTACTCTGCAAGGTAATCCCAAACAGCATAAGAAAATGGTCTCCCAGTTGAATTTCGATTTCAACGTGGATAGTATAGGTAAGTGTGGTGAATCTCATAACTGATGCTGTTAATCAGGGTCAACCGAAACAAGGCCAGCCGGAAATGCATGTGTATAAGAAAATGGAAATATTCATACAAATGAATGAGTGCATTCATTCATGAGAAGTCCAACACCTCGTCACTCATATAAACCGGCTGGTCAGACCTGATGTAAATACACTCCCATGAAATGGAGAATTAATTTCCTTTTTTATTTTCTTATTTCAGTTTGTTTACCCGATAGTGTTTTAGCATTCCACAAGCACGGCATGCAGGGCAAGTCGCTGCGAAAACGGTGAAATAACCCAAGAAATTAAAGATATGAGCCGTACATATCGATTATTGGGAAGTGATAAGTAAGTGCTATTTTATTTCTTTTAAAATTTTCAATATCTTTCGAATCTATATATATTATGTCTCGAAAATGTTACATATGATGGGAGGAGATAACCTTCAAAAGAGTGGTAGGTAATCTCTCTCATTGTTGGCGTTTTAAATATAGTGAGGCCATATCACTTATGAAAGCTTGCCACTAATATTTAATACCCCCACCATGTAAATTTTATAATTTCGTTTGAACATCTAGTCAGAGGCCTTTTAAAATCGAGATAGAGCTCGCTTAAGATGGAGTTCGAAATTTTGCACAGATATTGATATCATTGCTGGGATGTTTAATATTGTGACTGGAGTGTATATAACGAAGGTTCCTCCATATTTTCGGTATTTTGGAGGTTCCTGCACCAATTTCCAACGAAATATGCAGCAATTGGATATTTGAGATTCTCAATATGGGTTCACTTTTGGTATATCTCCCATATAGGTTTCCAAGTTTCCATGAAATGAGTCTCGGTGCGGATTAAATCGGTTGGGAGACTACGTCTTTTTCGTACTCACCAGATTTATCATCTTAGTCGCCGTAAGAGTACGGAACTGCGCCCACAGTCTCTTAACCGCAGCATTTATGCCACTTGTTGTTGATCCGGATTGTACATCGTTCTTGCTATTTAATTGCAATGTACTCCGAGGCAAAATAGATGATGTAATGCAATTTATGAATCAGAGGAAAATGTTGATGGTTTCGGTGAATGTTCAGTGAAAATTGCAGCCTACAACGTTGTTATGTTCACAACTAACCGGAATTGGAGGTGGGAAATGAGTGTTCCTATTCACCATTCTGTTAAATACCGACCTATATCACTTGATATCAAACAAGGAAGACACCTCTCGAATAGGTGGAGAGCATCACAGTTCTCCAGATTTATGTATAGAATCACCAGGCTTGAATAATTACTTGTCATGACAATCCGTCACTTAGCTTGAGTTAGACCATCTTTCGATAATCGTCTCCATACGCCGGTCACCCTATTGCACAACCTCTGACCGCCATACTTTCCCTTATCACAGGAAAGCTTACCTCCAGAATTCAGATAGTTTCCCAACCGTCGCTTCAAAGAATGCCCAACCCTTCTGACATTTCGAGACATTATCAAAGCTGCAGCGGCTTGCCTTATAACGAAATTTGGCCAAATTACCCAGCAAAGGCAGCGAGAAAGTACTAAGTCGTATAAGATAGGTACTACCTTTGGAACTGGTATGAGTAAGCTCTGGATAACGGTTGAATTGCTCTCGAACCTTGGTAAAAGGGTGATAGGAATGATCCGAATTGGTGCGCCATCCACTTCTATCGCTAATTTCTCAAGCACATCGAGAGTGATAGGTGGAACGAAGAATTCTACGTAGCATATGATCGCTGCCCGCCGAGGTTATCCAAATGATTGGGTCCACACGGAATCTTAATGGATATATTGAAACAGCTGGATACTCCGAGTATTGGGTACCTGAAAATGAAAGAAAACTTGTCCCTAGCCCCCATATGGTTTCCTAAGCCTAGACCCTAAGAAATACCTATGAAATCCTTGGGGACACATCATGTTCTAGTCATCCTGCAAACCACAGCTAAATGTGATGAATTGAAAGTGGAAACATGGTCCTCAAGTCGCTAGCTGGTAACAGATAGCTTCCTCATGACATCGGTGGACCATCTATATGAGAAGGCAAGAGATTAACATTACATGTGCTTTCGTTGCACATAACATGTACTTTCATCCAAACCATCACAAGGTAGATAAAATTCCCCGAATCAGGCATATCAGGAAGGACCTACATAATCTATAGAGGTTTTTTTGTTGGTATAAGGATGGGCAGAAACACGAAAGGCAGCAACTGCTTTACTCGGGGACCTTTAGTCTATTGTATTCATCTTAAGAAAAATATAGCTGTGGTTATAGAAGAGATAGAGAAGGAAGGGTTATAGTAAGGTTGTCTGCATAGGCAAGGAATGTTTTTGGCAAACTTGTAGATGATGAAAGAATCTATGTTTGAAAATAACAATAGAGTTTCTAAATCCATCTATGTCTCTAGTTTAATATCATGGGACATCTGCAGGTAGGTGTTCAATCGTCTCTATCTCTTCTTCATCTTTACATAGTCTACAGTAGTCCGAACACTGTTATCCCATCTTGAGGTCAGATCTCTGATACTGCAGTTGTCAGTCAGTATGCCTTGCGCAATTCATAGATCAGACCTACTGAGAGATAGGCCAACACTATAAGTAGCACTGCATATTGATGCAGTCCACAGATGAAAAAAAGAACAACAGTATGAATGCCAATTTTGAATCCTGAAGTTAAAATAAGATTAGCAGAAATCAAGCCATTCATGAATAGCACTTATTCCAACAAAACAAAGCAAATCAGCGGTGTTTAGACATTTCGGCTTCTTTGTGTGACAATGTACCTTCCAAAATTTGATTGGGTTTCCAATATCGTGATATGGAGTCAGATTATTCTTTTGTTTAATCTATTTCCACTAATAGTTGCCCTTTCAGTAATTTATTATTATCATTATTATGATTGATATTATTATTGTTTAAAATAGAAAATAGCCTTTGTCATTTTTATTAATAATTCATCATTTTCTTCTTCTCTTTCACAGAGTGGTGGCACTAGAAAGTCATTGTTACGAACTGGTTCCTTGGGCAGTGAAGAGGGTCATGATTTATACATTTTGGCCGGACACGAGGCCAGTTATTAGAAAACACAAAACAATTGTAATGTTGTTGTTCAAACACAAAATAACAAATGGCTTATAAATTAGTATTACCAAAACTAAAATAAAATTCACTACAAACTAATTTACAAAAAAGGAACACTTTCTTGAAATAATAGAAAAGTTTTTTTTTTCGAAAAAGAAATGACTTTGTAAAAAGCAAAAAAACATAGAGGCAAGTTTATTATTTATAAACAAAAGAAAATGTCTACTCAAACAAAATAGTGGTTATTGAGAAAAAAAAACAAAAAAATAAAAATTGGCAAAGTTGTGCTAAAACTCTACTATTTGAAATGGCAAACATTAAAAAAACATTAAGATTAGAAAAAACAACAATTTAGTATGTCTTGTAAAATTCTAAAAGTATTTTTCACTAACACAAGAGAAATTTCCAAACACTACCACAAAAGAAAATGCAAAAATGTAAACAGAAACTTTTTGAAAATATTGAAAATAAAAACGGAATACAAAGAATGAATTCTGGCTTCTTTGTAAATTTGGCAGAGTAGATTTGCATTAGAGTAAAACAAAGTTGAGTAATTATTTTTTAACAAAAAATCGTTAAAAATAAAATAAAAAACAATAATTAATAACGTAAATGTAGTAATGTAAACTTTCAACTAAAGGCAACAACAGAACATCCAATAAATCTACTCTTAAATTTAATCTGTGTATTGATTGTAATAAAATAATAATAAAATTAACACTCACACCGCAAGAAAACAAAAAAAAAACAAGAACTATATTATTAATTCAAAACGAAATAAAATACCATTTAACGATTAATTGTATTAATTTATAAACAAACAACCAACAAACAACAAATATTATTTATATTTGTCAAAATATTATTAAAACTTTATGTTTATCATAAATTATTATTATTTTTACGCAAACAGAAAAACATGTAAAAACATTTTTTCTTCGTCCTTCCTCTATTAGCCATTAAGTTTATTAATTATAGATTAGCATTAAACACAGTGATTTATGATATAAATTATAAATATATTTAAAAAAACCAATACAAAAAAACAACAGATTCCCCCCAAAAAACAAAGAGAAACACACACACAAATCAATCCTTAATTTATATACATACATGCATACGATATTGTGACACTTTATATTTAATACTACAATACAAACATAAATATTATTCAATAAAACAAACTACTACGTATTGACAAATATTCGTAATTAATTATGATTTTGGTTGGAGCGGAAATTTTTCATCGATTAGATGATAACCCATCAATAAAGAGTATACAAAGACAGAAGGCCTCAGATACAGTTATTGGCCCACAATCACATTTTGAGTATTCAAATATCGATACTGTGCTCTTTACAAAGAGAAAATAAATAAGTGACGATAAACATTTATGTAT